AGTCTCGTGGGAGCTGATTCTTGAGAAAAGATGTGAGACTTGCTAACGCGATTCAGTCCCTTGGTGAGGCAGTTGTGGGCATAACAGAGCGTCCCCGGAGTGAGCTGAGATCTCTGTTGATCCGAGGAGAAAGCCGTGTTGCTGAGAATTCTGCTTGACCCAGGCCTGCCCCAAAGGCCAAGCCTCTGGGGGAGGTCACGTTTCTTTGAAGGGACAGACATGGCCTTTTCTTGCTTGGGGAGAGCGGCTGCGTGTCAGTCCCTGATGCTCTTGTTCAAGACAGAGCTGCAGTTGTGCTGCATCCGCTTATTGTGTAGCTGGAGGCTTTTCTGAATTGGTTTTGTTTTTTCTCCCTAGACTTAAGCAGAAAGGCATGTTAAATGCTTTTTATGACTCTCCAGCCCTAAGCTGCAGGCATCTGACACTAAACCAAATGGAGACACGGGGGAAGTGGGTTTTCAGAAATAATCCCTATAAAAGCAAAGGCTGAGGCACGCGGGGCTCGAGCGCCTGTAAAGTTCCCTGACTCTGCAGCGAGCGCCAACCAAAGAGGGAGACTTCGTCTTGCTGGGTGCCGGCCAGGATCAGGGAGTTCAGCGCGAGGCAGCGTGCAGCCTTCTTGCAGAGGGAGACGGAGCCCAGGGCTGCCTGCATGTGGCTCACAGGGAGGGAATTTCCACCCAGGTTTGTTTTCATTGACAACAGCGCGAAGTGCCAGATGAAATTATCTTTGGGCGAAGATGAGGCCGAGTCCTGCTTCGTAAACACAGCGTCCCCGCTGGAGTTTAACCTCGCTGCGGCTTCTAATGCTGTGACATCATTCAGGGGCCAAGCTCCTCTGTCTCTGAACTGCTGCTCCTGCCTTCAGCACGGCTTGTCTCCGCGCAGGATAATCGCCTTCTTCCTGTGTGAATTAGGAGGAGCAGCAGCAGAGGGGCCCCCAGACCATCCCGACTCCAAACAAAACACCGCTGCAAATAACCCTCTCTTCCCTCCCCTGTTCTCTCTCCACTGCTGCAGAACAAATGTTTTCATCTCGGAGAGTGCTGGAATAGCCAGTAACTGTGCAGGAGGAATTAGCCCCCCAAAATCCATTTCCAGGATAGGTACCTGGGGAAGGTAAGAGTGTTGTTTTGCCAGGACCCGGATGCATTTGGGGGAACATCCCAGCCATTCTTTCTCGGCTGTTTTTCCACCTTGTCTAACAAGGCCAAGGTGACAAGAGCCAGAGTTACCTTTTGCTTCAGCCTGAGGTGTTGGCTGCAGTATGGGAATGCCTTGATCCCAAGTGTCCCACCGCAGCCAGAGGAAGCCTTGGGAAGGTGAAAGGGGGAGAGGAATTTTCCAGGTTCTTTGTGATTTGTTCTGGAGCAATTGGTTGTCAATGGTTGCTGCCTCGCTGGAGGGAAAGAAAATTCCTGTTGTAGGCAAGGCTGCAGTGGGCACGGATCTCTGCCTTACCTCTTTGTTGAAAAGCATTCTTTGATGCTGGAGGCTTGCAAACAACCGCTCCGCTCCACCTCGGGGTTGGCTGCCTTTCAGCAGCAGTGGGTGTTATGAAATTCCTGCATTTTTACCGCTGATGTATACGCTGCTTTCCGTCGAAAGATGTGGCTGTCAGCTGAACCGGGCTGTCGCTTTGTTGTGCTCAAGGGAGTGCTCCTCACGGAGGGACCGGGAATCTCTGGGCCAGTTGGGACTTGGGAAGTGTTAATTTGAGCAACTGGTCCTCTGTGGAGATCTGGTGGGGGGTGGGGGGCAGAGATGATGACATGACTCCTTCCAGAAGGTTTTTAACATTCCTGGGATTCCAGGAGAGGGGTCTCAGGGGAAAAAAAAAAAAAACCAACCCACAACCCTTCAGATTGTCATCCAGGGGAGCAGTCACAGCGATGAGGCTTAAAGAGAACTCTTGGCTTTAGGCTTGTTTGAAAATGCAAAATCTACTAAAACAATTAACTTCACTTTGAAAAATAGAAGCGTAATAAAGGGGAGGCAAATGTCTGTTGTCTTTGGAAGTGCTTCCCTACCAATCTCTGCTGGGCACCAGCATGGGACCAGATCTGCCGGCTGCACGGAGATCAGGTTACTCGGTGGCTCTGCTTGAGCCGCCTTCCTGCTTGCGGGGGCAACGCCGCGCAACGCCCTGCGAGCCCCTTCCGAACCGGTGGAAACGGGGAAAAGTCGTGGAGCGGTTGGAGGGGAAGACAGAGGGGCTGGACACGATGGGGATCTGGACGCCTTGGTCTTGGCAGTGTTCGGTGTCCAAGGCTTGCTCCCAGAATTACGGTGGGTGGAAGACAGCTGAGCTCGGTCTTTAAGAAATCATTACGTGGTTGTGAAAGCTGACGGGAGGGTTTCAGGCGCAGTGATTTTGGGGGTTTGCTGGTATTGCCCTGAGGGGTGTGCTGGGCCCAAACTCGTGTATCGTGTGGTTAGAGACGAGCTGAACGGGTCTTGGTTCCTTCTAATATCCCCCAAACCTGGAACTAAACAAACTCCCAAACTTCTGTAATGCAGAGAAGTGAAGTTATGGTTTTTTTTCTAGACAAAGGGACTAGAAAAATTGCTGTTATAAAGGCCAGGACTTTGAAATATTCGCTCACCTTCATATGCAAGCAGACACCGTTTGTGATGGGCTTACGTGAGCCCTGCCCTGATCCAGTGTGGCGTTTCTTGTGTCCCCCTTGGCCCTGACTCTGGTGTGCAGGGAGTGAGTTGCTTCTGACCCCCTGTCAGCACTGGGTGCTCCCAGCTCGCTGGGGCTGTCTGACGTGCTGAGCCATTGTGATGGACTGTTGACACTTGGGTTGAAACCAGTTAGGCCGGGCTGTTTCCCTGATTGCTCTGGGTGTTGCTTTATGAAAACGGCGCCTCCGAAGCGCTCGCTGAGTGCCAGTTTGAAACCTTGAAGGAACAAGTAAATCAGAAGTATTTTTAGGCTGCTGCCATCCCAGGCTGCGCAGCTGCAGAGCACGTGTGGCTTCGGAACTGGCTGAAGCCTCTCAAAGGCAGCGCTGCTGCCAAACGGTTGCTCCGACCTGGGTTCTGCTGCCCGTGCACCAGCACGGAGGGTTGGATCAGTGACTGAAACCCATCGCTGGCAGCACAAGCGCTGGAGCAGACCAAGGCGGGGGCTGGTTTATCACAGCTTGGACTCGGGTCTCTTTGGCCTTAAACTGATGAGGTAACCAAAAGGATAATAAATGCCTTGCGGGAAGGTGAAGGATCCGCTCTGTGTCACCTGAGCGAGGCGCTTCAGATTTGACTTCTTGTAGCCATAATGCTGTTGTAAATCTCTCTGGTTGCAGTAAGGACTTCTGGCTCCCTGTTAGGACCAGACTTCTCAGTGGTTTGTCTTTTCTCTGCTATGACAAAGCAAGATTCTTAAACTATAGGTGACTTTTCCCCTCAAGAAAGCACGCTGGGACACCTGCCAGTGTGACTTCACTGCTTCTAAAAACACACAGAGAAATCTTGTGAAAAGCCCCCGGGCCTGGTACTGTCTTGTGGGCGGCATCACCAGTCTGAAGGCGCAGTTTGTTAGCGGGTGGCAAGTTCTTTCTGAGTTTTTGTAGCCCTTGTGAGCTTTCTGGCATGACTTTGGTCTTGGGAGGCTGCAGGCTGTAGGGGTAGGATTTAGGGAGCTTGGTGCAGTTTTCAGTGGTTGCAGGACTCCGTAGTTGCCCCCCCTGCTCTCTCAGACTGTCGTATTCATCCATCTTTTCTTCTACCAGTGTCACTACTGCTCTGCTTCCATTTATTGGCCGTCAGCTCTGTTAATGTGTCCCCGGATCTTTGGCCCTATCTCTGTCCCCTTTGTGCCGGGCTCTTTGTAAATCTCCTGCCTATTTTACATAACATTACTTGGCTCTGGCGAGCTCTGCGTGTATCTGCCTGGCAGCAGATTAGGGTTGTGCTTGGTGATAACATTGTTCCTTGGGGAACAGGCGATGGTAGGAGGAGGGTGGGAGAGTAGGAAATTGGAGTCGAATGGAAATTGCTGGGGCCTTTGCAAGAGCAGCAGGCGTAAATCAAAATGAATGGAGGTTGCAAACTTGGTGGGTTTTTTTCCTTCATGATTTATAGGGCTATGGCTTGTCAGCACCGAGCGTGCTGGTGGGGTTTGGACGGTATTTAGCAGGTAAAATAATCTCAGACGTGTCAAGGACCTGCTAGACTGACCCGTCAGAAGGGTGAGCTCCCTTTCTAGCAGGGACACACACTTTTACCAAGTTATAGCAGGAAAATCCGTTCCCATCTGTGCCTCAGTTTCCCTTGTCTCACGACATTTTCTCCCTGCTTCCTCCCCGTTTCAAGGTTTCTTGCGTGGCGCCAGGCAAGCGCGGCTGCTGCAGTGGAGGGGGGGGGGTTAGATCCTGCCCCAAGCTGTGGGTGCTGTAGCTGTAGGCTAGGAAAACCGCCTTCTGGTGCCAAGGCAGGACAGCTCCTCCGTCCTGGGATCCCACCTGATCACTCAGAAGATCCGCTCGCCTCCTGCCATGGGGCGAAGGCTCCGGGGCAGCAGGTGACCACGGGGTGACGGGAGCGGTGGGACCAGAGGGTGCCAGTTCCCCCAGAGCAGCACCTTGCCGGCAGGAGCGGTCCACGAGGGTGATGCCGCCAGATGGGAGCTGACTCGTTCCAGCCAGAGCCGGAGGGGATCGGAAAGTGGCTTTGGCCTCCATGAAGGCGGCAAGGACTCGGGTTACAGCTCCTGGGTCTCCTGGAAGGACCCGCCTAGGGGAGGACCCAAGGAGGGACGGGCTCAGCGGAGCTCTTGCAAACTTGCCTCCCAGGAGCCAGTGTTTCGGAGCGGTCTGTGATGGACTCTGAGGCTGGAATGCTCGTCTGAAACTTTCCTCTAAGGCACCTGGCTTTGTTTTTTTTTTTTTTTTGGTCTGGCTTGGGATGCACCTCTGCTCTCCAGAGATGGGGATCTCCTTGCTGGATAGCTGCCCTGCTTTCCTGTGGTGGGGAGACCAAAGCTAAAGGTCAGGTTTGGATGCGGTGGTTGTGCTTTCAGGTAAGAACGCTGTTCTTTAGAGTAAAAGCTTGTACTGTTTGTGGCTCAGAAATATCGGAGGGGTTTGAATGTCTGGCTGTGTAAATCCCTGTGCAGTGGACTTGGGTAAAACAGGTTGGATTTGAGTCACTGTGAGCATTTATAGATCCATTGTTCTGTCTTGACGAACGCTGATTGTGGTTATTAGTGGCCGCATAAATTCAGCCATTCATCCCCGTTCAATTCCACGCTACGCCGGCTGTCGGCTTGTTAACAAGTGTTGAATGCCTTCCCAGATCCCAAGGAGCTGACTAGCATTTTCCACTTTTGCAAGCAAGAGGAAATGGAGAAGGGAGGACACTTACACCTTTACTTTCTGTGTAAAAGGACCCTGAACTTACCCTGAACCTGGGGCAGTAACTAACCCAGTGAGAAGGGGGACGGCATGTGCCTGCAGAGGAGAGGAAAGATGCCTTCTGTGCTCATTTTTTGTGGTGGTGCCTACCAAACTGCAAAAGCTGTGCTCTGTTTTGAGGGGGGGGAAGAGACTTGAGCAGAGTTTGAGGTAGCGCGATTAGAGAAGAGGCTGTGTTTGCCTATTGCTCAAGGAAAGGGGCCGCTGAATTGTCGCAGCACGTAACTAGAGTCTTGTTTTACCAAGTAAACAATGCTGGTAAGGAAAAATCTTGTAAGATCCTGCTGAGGAGTGTAAGGCCGTGGAAGGCGGTTGCTCGGACACTGAACAATAGACTCGTCCAGCTCCTTTGTGCATCATGGCACCAGCCTGACTTTCTATCTGCTCGCTGCTGTGGGCAGGGTGTTTCTCTTCCCCCAGCGCTGGCCTGTTCAATTTTGGGTTGTGGCATCGTCTGCCCTTGATGCCAGGCGCCAAGGTCAGTTTTCCAATTGCAGGGTAGCGCTGTGCTGGCACACGAGCTCCTGGAGCCAGTCACAAGCGTTAACCTGTCAGTCCCTCCTGGACCCCACCCAGCTCACGGCATCGCACAGATTCGGTTTGTAACCTGCACGCGTTTCCGAGGGATTTGCACCTCCCAAACTTCCCCCTGTGCTCTGGCTGGGCCTTGCCTGGAGCAGCCTTTCGGACATCGCCATCAGGATGAACGCTGAGGGGCTGTTTCCCTAGATTTGGGCATTACACATGCGGAGCACAGCTCCTTTGTGGGTTAGCGCAGCTCTAATCCCCTCCCCCAGTAAACATGCCATTGAACCAGTACCGTATAATGCTTTGGAAAAAGTTCACCACTTGGCAGGAGGAAGTTTACGGGGCCTGTCATAGCTGAGGGATCTTTAATATTCGCAACAAAGTAAGATTGGTCTCCATAACTTAGTGGGAATTTTAAAGCTAATCTTACCTGGATTAAACTTGTCTTGGTGTCAGCTCAAAAAATTAGAGAGCAAGACCTAGATCCATCAACGAGTTACATCCCTGTAGTATTCGAGTGTTCCTGAAAAATTAAAGCGTAGTGTGAGCTTTGTGCCTGTTCCATTATGGATCAGTTAAACTTTTATAACTGAGGGGAACACGTACGCTACTGCACAGCAAAAGTGTGAATGGGATTAATTGGCACTTGGAACCCGCTTGTTCACGCGGCTGGACAGTGTATGGGGTTCTCCAGACCCTGGTGGTACTTCAGCTTCTCTTCTTCCCCGCTTTCTTCCCTGGGCATCCACATATGTAACCTTAAAAAGGTGAAGTGACTTCTCTAACTTCAGCAGCAATTTCCTTTCTGAATTGGGGTTAAAGCTAAAGTTGAGAGGAAACTGTTACAGCCAAGCTTTTGATGTGGTGCCTCTCCAGACACTCCCCCTGAAGGTGGTCATCTACCTGCCTGGGGCTCAGCAGTGGTGTCCCTCCTGTTCCCAGGCTTTCCGCCCTCCCTCGTTCCTCCATTGCTTTCCCCTGCTCAAGCCAAAATACTCCCCAGTTACCTGCCCAGTTACCTGCCCAGTCACCACAGGGTATCTCTGCAGAACCCGTTGGGTTGCTCTCATCCCCTACGCTGCATCTGGACCACACGACTCCTGAACAGCTTGAGATCTACAAGCACCTGATGACCTGGAAAGAGGAAAGACGGACGTGTTACAGAGCCCACAGCTCCATCCCCTGGGGCAGGTGGATTCCTCCTCTACCTCCTTTTCCTTTCCTCCCCACCAATATTTGGAAATACAGTTATTTCCCTATTCAGTGGCTTTGGAAGTGGGTTGGTCCAGCAGCGTAGCTTTCTCGCCCCATGGCAGACGGCCGTGTGCCGAAGCCGGCTGACACAGAGCCCGTTAGGCAGCGGAGATGAGCCGCTCAGCTGCAGGTTCGATGGGGTTTCCCGGCTCAGCCATCTTCTTTGCACAACTCGGCGCGCGCGCAGGCAGAGGTGGGTGCGGTGCAGGCGATAACAAGCTGGGCGGCCTGCGGAGATCTGCCTCCCTGATCCTGACAGCAGCCTTGCTGCCATGCTGGGGGTTCCTGCCCCGGGAAACGGACCAGACCCGGAGAACTGCGCTGCCTGGGAAGCGGAGGAACAGGCCACTCCTCAGGGCCCTGAGCTGTGTTTTGGTTTCGGGGGTGGTTAAAGTGAATTGTGAGTCAGGCACTTCGGGTTTTCTCCCTGTCTGGAGGACTGCGCTCTTGCTGCGTGGTCTGCGTTAAGCTTTCTCCGAAATGAGGATGACTGTCGAGCTCGTGAGAGCGCAGGGAGCAGCAGTGACTTCATGGGCAGAAGCCTCACCAGGGAAAGGAAAAACTGTGTCAGTTTTCAGCACCTCAGTGCCGCAAGGAAGGAGGCTCCAAACTGGGTTTGCCCGTCCCAGTGGGGACCCCAGCCAGCCCTGACTTGAGATTTCCAAGCTCCTGGTCAGGAAAGGAACACGAACATCTGCTGTGGGGTGTGATGGCCCGGCTGCTTCTCAGCCCTTGGGTTTGTTCATGGTGCTGTACTTGTCCACAAAAAAAAAAAAGAAAACATGAAACAAGTAACACAATCAGCACCTGGTTGATTACTGGGTTAAATTCTGACTCTGTAAGGTAAAACATCCTTTAACTTAACCAGCTGCTTTAGGTTTGGCTGTCCACAGGACAGGAAGGTAGATTACCAGAGGTATACGGGCTTTGACAATTAATACTTAACGCTGTGATCCAGACAAATGGCTTGTCTGGTCTGGTCTTGCTCCCAGCAATGCCCAGTGTGTCAAAGAAATGTGAAAAGTCATTCTTGAGACTTAAACCATCTTTTCCTATCAAGTTTTTCCACTGTGTTCCATGAGTTTTGGGCTGCAGCCTTGTCCCAGCCCTGTAAGGGAAGAAGGGAGCCGCCTCCCTCGTTGCGCAGGTGACTTACCGGGTGGTGGTCTGGGTGCTGACCCACACGCCGTGGTGTAGCCTGGAAACGCTGCTGGGATTCCAGATGATGCAGCTCTTCCCAGAGATCCAGCGCCGTGGTTGGACATGCTGAGCTTGTTTCTGCCCAGCTCTGTGCTCTCTGCCTCTCGGCCAGGTTTGGGAAGCACTCGCCTGTTTTGGGAGCACCAGCAAGCGCTGTGCCCGGAGCAGCGTTCAGGAGTAGCTGTGCGTTACGTTGGCCTTTAAGCAATGAAGCTACCCAGGAAAGATGAGATGTGTGCTCACTGAGCCAGGAGCAGGAGTCCTGGGGACCGCAACAGCTGCGGAGGCTCATAGTCTTCATCAGCGTGTTGTTTAGTGATTGACTGATAAACCTCCTCTGCTGCTGCTTTGTTTTTGCATTTCTGAAGTAGGACATCTGGGACAACAAAAATAGTTTTGTCTGTCATCCCCGTGAAGCTGCGTGGGCCAGACAGGGAGAATCTGTTATCAGATCTGGCAAACCTGATCGCCTCCCATGAGTGTTCGAGGTTTTGCTGCATCCTCAGTACAGTTTCGGGGACAGCTGAGGACTCGGCCTGCGAGATGTGTAGCTCTGTCTCGAGGACAGAAGTGGTTTCCTGTTGCTTGTGTGGTTGTTTCTGTGTGTGTCAAGCTCCTCCCCACCTCCATCTGTGTCAAAGGCACTGTCATAATGCTCAGCATCTCCCCAGCTCCTATTAGTCGCGTGTGTGTGCGTGTGGGCACAACAAGCTAACGATACTCTCGTCCCTCTTCAGGACAGCAGCGATGAAGCACTGTTTCTACAACGAAACCGTGGGGTTCTTCTACAACAACAGCCGCAAAGAGCTGACCACGTACTGGAGGACGAAGGATGTCCTGGTGGTTGCCCTGGGCCTGACAGTGAGTGTCATTGTGCTCCTGACCAACCTGCTGGTCATCACCGCTATCATCATCAACCGGCGTTTCCACTACCCCATCTACTACCTGCTGGGGAACTTGGCAGCTGCCGACCTCTTTGCTGGCATCGCGTACATGTTTCTCATGTTCCACACGGGGCCCAGGACAGCCGAGCTCTCCCTGAAGACCTGGTTCATCCGCCAGAGCCTGCTGGACACCAGCTTGACGGCCTCTGTGGTGAACCTGCTGGCAATCGCTGTAGAAAGGCACCAGACTGTGTTCACTATGCAGTTACACAGCAAAATGTCCAACCAGCGTGTGATGATCCTCATCTTCTGCATCTGGGTCACAGCTCTGCTGCTGGGGCTCATCCCGTCCTACGGCTGGCACTGCCTCTGCGCCCTGGAGAAGTGCTCCAGCATGGCACCGCTCTACAGCAGGAGCTACCTGACCTTCTGGGCCATCTCCAACCTGGTCATCTTCCTGATCATGGTGGTTGTGTACACGCACATCTTCATCTATGTCAAAAGGAAGATGACGCGGATGTCCAAGCACACCAGCTTCCACCCCCGCTACAAGGAGACCATGATCAGCCTTGTCAAGACGGTCACAATTATCCTCAGTAAGTCCCCTGGCTCTAGTCAGTCGGAACAATGCTTTGATGCTCCACCCTGGGTTGTGCGGGGCTGGTGAGGTGGGTGTGCTGGGGACAGCAGGGAGGACTGGGAAGTGCTGTTCTGCTTCCCTGGTCTCTGCATCTGCTGGGGTGGTGGTTTGGTCTGGCTGCTGAGGAACTCAACGGTTTCAGGACTCTGTGTGAGCTGTGATGGGAGTGACCTGGCAGACGGAGGGGAGGGCAAGCTCCTGAATCGCTCGCCCTCCAGCATGGCTGCTCCTCTGGTTAGCAGAGACGAGAGGGGTTGGTACTAATGCGACTTGGGAACTTTGGGCACAGAAGCAGCTCTTTCATGTGCTCAACTTGAACGTGCTTCCTCCATGGAAGGGTAGCGTGGAATTGGGAGCTCTAACCAAGCCTTAATCAAGAAGCAGCATTTGGTGCATCCTTTAATAAAGGATGGAGGGAGGTTTGGGGCAGAAAATGAGGGAGCTGTGTCCAAATTCCTTACTAATGCGACTTGGGAACTTTGGGCACAGAAGCAGCTCTTTCATGTGCTCAACTTGAACGTGCTTCCTCCATGGAAGGGTAGCGTGGAATTGGGAGCTCTAACCAAGCCTTAATCAAGAAGCAGCATTTGGTGCATCCTTTAATAAAGGATGGAGGGAGGTTTGGGGCAGAAAATGAGGGAGCTGTGTCCAAATTCCTTACTCTTTATTGGAACAACGTGTTGAACTCTGCTCAGATTTTTTTTTTTTGAGCAGCTCAGTACTGCTTGGGGAAATGCCCCCTGGGAGACCTCAACTCTGAGTCGGAGCTGCTCCCTGTGAGCGGGACCTCCAGCAGAGTGCTAACAGCCTGTCAGTCTGTCTGCATCCCAGTCTGTAGTGCAAATAGGAGCAGATCAACAAGGGGAAGTGGTCGGTGCTGAGGCTCTGCCTCTTCAAGGTATTGAACTTTATTCGGGTATGTGCCATCCTGCCCAGCGCTGCGCATCTCACAGCGGAGGCTGGTGTGTGCATTGTGCTTTCAACAGCCCATCACTCCACGAGTTCCTGAATCTGCTTTTTGCCTTGGGCTTTAATGGCCTAATGACCTTGCTTTAAAGTAGAATAAATCCACGTCTCAGACCTTCCACAACCCAGCTCGACTCTGGACTGACGGTCACAACCCCTTGCTTGCAAATCTTTCCTGATAAGCACAGAATTTGCTCCGTCAGGGAAACCTTGTAGCTGCAAACAAAGACTCCTCCCTTGCAAACTGGGGCTGGCAGAGAGGGCTCAG